TTCTAAAAAACTAAACAGTGACCCCAAAGTAAAGAAAAATCTGTACTTACATCATATACGTGTAGATATGCGACAATCCGCAGTGCTATAACAGCCCAATATAATGCCAACTGACTCCAATCTATGAAATTATAAGGATCACGTAAATATGCAGCGACGCCACCACTCCAGAGTTCCTTAATCTCTCTCCATGTCATGCCTGTAGTACAGTAACATATGACATATTAGTGTTGTGTTTTGATTTACGCAATATGACGTCACAAGAACCCCGCCTCGAGATGTTATTTCCACAGCGAATAATTCTCCAATACGTATTTACTATAATAACATAGATATGCATCTGTGACGCCAACATTTAGAATATAGTGAATCTCTCAAGGAAATTATTGTTTTATTGACATACGAGTATATATTAAAATGATAATAACTCTACGAAGGTTCTTGTTTGAAGAGCGGTGGTCGTCGAGCCGCATACTTTTCGATGTGGGACTCATAGCGACGTATACAACGCGTGTAAAATACATTGTTTGTTTGAAAATCGAACACGCGTCGCGGGACGACCACCGCCCTTTTATCAGTTTACGTCACAGAACTTTTTGCCGCAAGAGGGAGCGACTCATGTGTATATGTCAGTCAACATATAGCAAGGGGGATCGAAATACACAACATCCAATGAACGTGGAAAGAATTTACAAATCCGATGGATGATACAGTTTGTGATATTTTTATGCTTATATCTGTGTCTCTAACATCTATCTTTGATAACGAATAGATTGAAATAAGTCAAGTAAATGTTTGGATGTTTATCGCATGCTTGTGTGAATCATCGATCTAGGAATCGCTGCATCGATCCGGCATTGCAGCATCGATCTAGAAATCGATGTATCGATCCTGGAATAATTGTACCGACCCGGGAATATGTGTATCTACCAAGGAAATGCTGTATCGATCACGAAATCACTACATCTATACAGGAATCGATATATCGATCAAATAATTGCTGTATCGACCTACGAATTGCTGTATCGACCCACGAATAGCTGTATCGATCCAGGAGTTGTTGTATCGATCCATAAATTGATGTATTGACCCCGAAAAACGCTGTATAAATCCAGTGAATCGGTGTGACCACCCCAAGAATTGGTGTATTGATCCAAGAATTGTTTAACCAGCCAAGAAATCAATGTATCGATCCGATCAGCTATATATCGATCAAAGAATCGCTGTATTGATCACAGTATTGCTAAATTGGTCTGGGAATCACTGAATATTCTACTCACCTACAATCCATAAAACTATTATCAATTCAAGTATAGAGGGCGGTGGTCCTCTTTGTTGCTGCGCAAGCTCAGCTACTTTCAGACACTTCAAAACATCTTTTCTCTCTGTGTATAGCGCACTGCATTCGGCTGATGCATTGTTTTCTTCCGTGGAGGTCATAAACAACAGCACTAGGAAGGTTAGGTAAGACATGGCGTGCATCAAGAACTTGATATATCTACAGATAAATGTAGATAATTATAACATTGAAGGATGGATACTATTTTTCGCGAGCGTAAAATTGAAAAAAATCTTTAAAGTGAATATTGCTAAAATCAATAGTATACTACCCCACCCCAGTAGAAATAATGGTCCTCCTACAATTTATCATTTGCGAGATTCGAGTTCACGTGATATTGATTACGTCAGCAGTTTGTAGCCTCGTTCGCATTTGGTATACATTGTCGCTTTCATACAAATAACCCAAACGTGAATGCAACTTTTCAAGATTTCGCGAAGTTACAAATCAATTTCTTCCATGCAGTGATTCGAAAACAGATATTTGAAGAAGAATTGTAGTGATGAACTAACTACGAACGAGACGTCATGTTCTATGAAGTACTCGGACAAAAGTGTCAAGTGGCACTAAAATACCGAGAAGAATATCGGTTAGAACGCGGAACTGATACAGTAATACTAATTAATTATATAATACTAATTAATTATATTACTAATAAAGCAAAATAAGCAGTCAAACGAGCAGAGGAAGACTTATAAAATTGGTAACAATGAGTTTAGATGTTCTTTGTCATGTCATCCAAAGATATGGACGTTGGTGGCGCCGTTGCAATAAATAGCACATGTGTTGTATATGAATACTCACGGAATACGTATAAAATCAGCAAACTTTCCTTTTGGCCAGAAAAGGTATATGATTGATAGTACAGGATAGCTAATTGAGATGAGAAATGACGTCAAAAGCATGACGAATGTACTTGTATCCACCTTGTTCTTCAGCTGCTTATAATATTGACCAATCAGATACTGCTGGCAATGTGCCTGTGCTATAAACTAATGAAATAAATACTGTAGTTATATAAATAGTTGCGAGATAAAGTCACACGTGTCTAATGAGACGAATAAAACGCATATATATCCGAGGGTTGTACTAATGTGAAAATTGCTTTGCCAATCAAAACAATAAAACTGAATTCCATGTGTGTTGTCTACGATCTTGACATTCTCGTAATGCATCTCCAATTCTCAAAAAAATAACCAAAATTTCTTAAATGATTCACGGAAATTTAAACAGACATTGGTTACACAAATATACAAGAATATATACAATTTAAAAATGTATCAACATAATCATTGCATATTTGGGAAATAAAGACATGTGTTTACGAACATCTCACCTTCTTCTGTCGGTAATTAACTGCCTCGGTGACACGTTGTACAGACTCATCGTACACACTTTCTGCATCTAGTTTAGAATCGTACTCCAATACGCTTCTAATTTCACGTTGGTCACGTGTCTGTGCCAGCAAATCAGCAGCAAACTGTTCACATCTGATAGACATCTCTTCGTACTCCTGTGAAAACTCGTATTCTTCTTTACTCAACTTTCGTAATGTCACACTTAACTGAATACGACGGCGGAAAAATAATAAATTAAACTGAACATGCATTTTGTCAGTATTGCAAGGTGGTGTTGATGAACTATTAGATTATGAATAATCATGAAATAAAACTTTTTTTCAAATGAAAAATTATAAATTGTGCGCATGCGCAATGATTGGTATTACACGAAACTGGAGAATATACCGTTGTATACTTACAACAAAAGCATCACCGATAGGGTCAACTGAAGTCAGTGAAATGTAGGCCTCGCTGGACAGTGCTTGGTAGATATGCAATCGCGTTAATGATGATTGTAATGAACTTGGCTCTGATCTTGGGGATACCACTGCCGGGTCTGGCATTACAGCTCCGTAATCAAGAAGAAGCTACGAAAAGGGTTTTCATTAAACACGAATATTACTGTTTTTTCCAATACAACACCTGTTTTTTCGAATGATTTGTATCGTTTATTTAACCAAATTATTTAAACATGCCCAACAATACTCGGTGAAATCCACATTGCATTTACTTAAAAGGCAGTAGTCGTCGTGCAGCGCATGTACGACATTTGTGTTGATAAACATTGCTTGTACAACAATCCAATGCGCTTTTCTAATGAAAACACAAGTACGAGTTTTGCCCTGGGCACCACTTGCACTAATTACTACCGGCGACTCTTTCAATACTTTCCAAAACACCAAAATAAAATAATTAATTAAAGCTTGGTAACCTCTCAGTTTATACTAGTTTCTGTGTGCTACAACCATAACCGCCATCTTTGTTTATATGATAGCCATATCTCGCGCATGCGCTGCGCGGCGACTACCGCCATTTAAGTTAAATAAAATTATTCAACAATCATAAATAATTATGTCAATATTCAATTTTATGACCTAAAATTGCATGCTTGGTAATACAATGACTTGATTGTAAAATTATTTTACGATAAATATGTTAATTATGATTGCCACATCTTGAATCAAGGTATAATGTTCCAACTTACTGACTCATATATAGATAGAAAGATGAACAGATACACACCCGTGCGATTGGACGATACGTTACAATTGTAATATATTATTTAGCAGTTTATTTCTTTCAATATCGTTTTGCGAAATCTAAAAAAAAATCATATTTCACCTTCTGTTGTTTTTTGTGAGAGAATTTTGTCATACACAGTGTTGTTTCGGGTTTTGTGTTTCTACCTTTCTAAATAGTAGATTGTGATTTCATCTTGATTTCGAACAATATAGAATATCAATGTATATCTTGGTACATGTAACCCATTGTGTCTAAAGCGTCGGTAAGTACCATGATGTCACCCTAAATGTAATGGTATTTTGCTCACTATGTTACGCAATGATTACATTAGATAGAATTGTTACATTTGAATTCAAAATGCTTAGGCGTAGTATACGTCCATAAAACGACAACGATCAATCACATACATATTTTACTTTGATAACATCATTAAATCGTGATTCAAATGATAACTCATCAGTAATTTCGGGTTCAAACACTTATGTTAACATATATAATTATGACACTATATATATAGGTACGGTCATTATAAATACCAGTGTCAACTGTGACATTTTATGACACGCAACGTTAGTGTTATACATCCAACTGTCAAAATAACTCCAGCTACTAAAAAAAACAATTCATGGTACAAATACGTATGGATACAAATCAGTCTAGTTTGCAATTAAGTAAAGCTTACCCACCTTGATGATGTGCAGTTCGTTACACTGCGCTGCCTTTACAATAGGTGTGACGTCACATGACGACAACGAACTGTCCGCACCACAGTTGAGGATATCAATACCACGTGCCTGATTGGTCAAATTCATAAGAAATCTTAGCAAGATTTAGTGATTGTATTATATCCGGGGTGCTCACTTTCATTTAGGGTAGGAGTGCTCCGCAGCCAGTTGAATACTGGACCAAAAGATCGACGTTAAGGGCGCTTTAAGCCTGAAATGGCGTTTTTCGTCAAAAAAATAACTGAAATTTTTATAAAATGGAAAGAAATTTTAAAATTGGGGTCAAAAAGATCGGCAAAAACAGCGGTGCATACTCGTATACCTTAACTTAATTGAAAAGGGTATTACGCAATTTTGATATTTTTTTTTATAATTAATTCATTTGAGAAAATAATTAACTAACACATACGCACGCTTTGAATTACTAGTACGTACCAGTTATTTAAAGCGTGTACAATATGTGAAAATCCAGAGTCAAGGTTATAAATATTGTACATGCTTCGTTATGATTAGAATGTCTTACAAAGGTTCTGTAAGTAATAATTTCCTTTAATTCATCCCGTACAATTTACTGACCCATGACGTACATGGAGTGTCATGGATTAATACGGTGATCAGCACAAAGGTCAAAGGTTAAATATCTAATGTAATCAGGTGAATCTCACGTAACTTACCCGTAGGTAGAGGGCGCGCTTACAGAATACCTCAACGGCTGCATACTGACCCTCATCTATGGCGTGAAGGAAGGCTTCATCTATTATGACGTCATTCTGGATTAGCAAATGTAACATATCTTTAAAGAGATGAAATATAACAATCAATAGTTAATATGCTATCATGTGGAATCATCAGTAAACTTATCCAAAAGGGTCAGTCACGATGTAGTTGTATCTCAAGTTTATTTATCGGATTGAAGATGCATATTACCGCATTGAACACAACTCAAGCATGCATATGTATTCCGAGGAATCCGTCAGTTCTCCCATGGAAACTGCTACTTTCGATTTTTTAAGTGCACTGAAGTTAGGAACAGAATACGGAACCATTCTCCCAAATTAATATATAAATTAAAAAAATACTTATGTCGCGAACCTGGCAAGTGGGCATAATATACTGGTGGGCGGTCACTCTAACAATTGTGCCACACATGTGGGTCTGCGAACAAGGCTGCTGTAGGGGTGATATTTACATGGGGCGTGACGGCACGACAATGCCCCAATTTCAAACGAGAGCCTCCACATTTACATACACGGAGCTAAATTTGGTGAAGCGAGTTACGTCGGGTTGAATGCCCTCAATGGCGCGTTTAAATAGAACAGTCTATTATTACATATGTACTGCAGTTTATTTTGATTCGTCCCTGAAATCAAAATATAAGCGGTATTTCCACAACCCATATGCAAATGAGGTCTGAAAGCAAACAAAGTAGTCCCTTCAGGAGTACAGTTTTTCGGAATAAACAATATTTAGAAGTACGGTATTTTCCCCTTGGGGTACATGAATATACTTGCCGAGTGAAATGAAATTTGAACAACAGTAATGGTACTTTTAGGCAGTCACTTATTTTGGCCCAAACTAATTTGCATATCACCCATGCAATAACTCGAGATGCGGTGTATTCTGCTGTACTTTCACTCGCTTTGCTCGTGAAAGTACGGCCGCAGGATACACCGCATCACTCGTGAAAATAACTTCCATACGCAACGAAAGCCACGGGGGAGGTGTGGGGTTCTGTCATAGTACTTTTCTAGTTTCAGTCAAGAACTAGATTAGGCGGGGCTAGATTCAGATGCTACAGTTCAATTATTCAGGCATAAGTAATCGATAAATTTAGGCTGTTTTGGAGTGATGTCATGGCAAACTCGTTAATATAAAGGTCATTGACCTGACACGTTACAGCAATTGGTAAACACAAGTAGAAAGTTTGGGTAATTAGCATTTTATAGAAAAAGCTGTTACCGTACAAATGCATTTTCCCGAATGGAGGTCACGGTATTCGAAGACAAAACCGGATCAGTAGTGAATAAATAACCGCTATGATGAAAACGCATTTTGCTAACAAGTTTGGCGTGAAAGTGTGTATCTATCAGGGGGTAATTCTCTTCTCTCTGGGTTCTCTACACGTGTCAGGGGGGATCTCGTCTCTGTCTCTATATCTCGTCCCCTTGATGTGCGGGATCGGGAAAGTCACTTATGCTTTACAGTCAAATAAGACACACACAACGAACTACGTTTCAGCTCTCGTCTTAGTCGGTCATTCGAGCACTCTATAAGACACAGCGCCCTGGGGAAAAATCCCCAAGACTATCGCAAGGCTGACCCAAGACTCGCCCAAGACTGGACTGCCTCAAGGCTCGCCCCAGGACTGGACTCTCGACTGCGTCTCTCGTGGAGTACTTGCCAAGACCAACTCAAAACTCTTTATTCATTTTCAAAACTCTAACCAATTACAAAACAGTAAACAGACTCTAGGGCGTAACCTTCAATCATAAAGCCAATCACACTAAGTACTGAATACGTCATATCTTTTGATTAATCGTTCACTACATTAATAACTACGGATATTTACTGTCATAAATCGTAGTCAGAATAGCGACGGTTATCTCGTAATTAGTTCCAAATCACTGAGCCAAGTTCCGTCCAAAACTTCAAATAGGCCTAAACGATGACAGACATAACACAGCAATTCAGCTAATAATCAACTAATTAAGTCGATTAACAGATACGCGAAAACAAATTCATGACATATCTCCGATTGTATCTCATCTGTGTATCTCCGATTGTAATCTAATATCAGAATGTCGTCTGTTGATCAGCATATCTCTGATTTTAGGCCCATATCAGAATGTCGTCTGCTGATCAGCATATCTCTGATTTTAGTCCCATATCCGAATGTCGTCTGCTGATCAACATATCTTCGATTTTAGGCTCATATCAGAATGTCGTTTACTGTTGAGTACTATCAGTGTCTTGGTATCCTCGATATTAGGCCGACATCGGAAGGTCGTCTGCTGATCACATTGACGAACCAATTTCAAATGGATAACGTAATCATGTTTCAAATATCGCAATCACCTCATTTGTTTGTGGCGAACATTACATCAAACAATCGTAGATCATCAGACTCATGACCGGTAGACCCAAGTTCAAATTCTACATTAGGCTGAACATCAAAGGGTTGACCCCTACCCTGGGTTAGTGTGCCACAGACTCAATGGGAAGGCCAATTCCACTGGCCAAGATTCATTCACTAACGAATGCGACTTTGGGGGAACCTTGGTTAAGGTCCGCAGGTGCTTGTGTTTGACCGAGCCTGGTTGACGCCAGGATAGTGCATAAAAAAATGCCATTTGACAGAGAGATGGCCACACAGCCCTGTCATGTAGTCCCAAACAGGAATATGACTTCTGTGGCAAAATGCACAATGTGTCAGCACTAGCACTTGCAATTTGCACATACAAAAAAAATGTCAGGAGAGACAGCAGTGACATTCAATGTCCAGAACTGTCGCCTGGCACAAAAAAAAAATTTAAAAAAAAAGAAAAAAACAAAGAAAAAAACAATCGTAGATGACCGTACAATAGGAACCAATGTGTAACAGGACAGTTGGTTATAAACATACCTATGTTCTCATTATCAATTGCCAATATAAGCGCTGATCGGCCTTTATAATCCACACAATTTTTGTCAAAAAGATGGCTATTTTGGAGAGCATATTGAACAGCGTCCTCTGCGCCTTCTTCCACTGCATTCAGGTACAGTGATGCGAATATTTCTTCCGAATTATTCATCTTGAACACTGTAGTCGTATCTTGAACAACACAGTTTCTCTGTAAAACAAAAAGAATGTCATTGCGATGAATTCATTACCTTAATTTCGCAAATTATTTGATTTCTATACACAATATATTAGAAACTGTCAAACAAATAGAAAGTCATCTTCTTGCATAGTTAAGGTATTAAGGAGTCATATAACTTTTTTACTGAATTGAAGAGTCAGAATCGTTTTACCAAGTTGGGAAGTCATCAATCGTTTTTTCCACGTTAGAGTCAACGATCTTTTTACCAAACCATGGAGTTAAAGAGTCGTAGATCTGTTTACCAACTTAGGAAGTAGAGTATATTTTTACCGAGCGCGGTAGTCGTCGCGCTGCGCATGTGTGACATTTGTGTTGATAAACATTGATTTTCCCACATTCCAATGCGTTCTTCAAATGGAAATCACAAGTATGAGGTTTGACCTGGGCGGGACTTGCATTGATTACCGACAGTGACTCCTTCCATACCATCCAATCACATGAAAATTGCCTAATTAAAACTTGGAAACGTGTCAGTTCGTACTCGTTGCGAAACAGTCAAAGTCGCCATCTTTGTTTATATGAGACCCATATATCTCGCACATGCGCAGCGCGACGACTACCGCGCTTCAAGGAATCATCGATCTGTTTAATACCAAGTTAGGGAGTCTCAGATCTGTTTACCAAGTTGAGAAGTCATTTGATTATTATGAACAAGAAATGTTCTCAGCGGTTACAATTTAATTAAAATCCTAGATGACTGTTCTGTTTAAATTTCACTGAAAATGGTTTTCATAGCACAGTGTCATTTGACCACTAATACGTGTGTATTAGTATTAGTAAAAGTAGCATACCCGTAATACCATATCAACCGATGCACTTCGAAGGTTCTTTGTATAAAGTCGTGACGTGAAGTCAATGACTTGGTGCGCCAAACAATGACATGACCTTTTTAATTTATTTATTTTTCTGATCTAGTTAGATCACAATATAAAAGCTATTTAGAAAATTGAAACAAACATCACCGGAAATCAGTGTGTGTTGTGTGCAAATCTATTTTGAACATGGCGCACCATGGCTGGAGTTCACGTAGGAGTAACTTAATAATTGAGCCTTTGCGTTTTTAGCGTGTGTTGTTATCGTCGCTTGGGACTCCCGCGCGTGCGCAGGTGACGACCCTTCCGCTTTAACTTATCATGATGCAATATTTCCAACCATAGCCAGTGTGGTACAGACTACGATTCAGATGATATCTCTATATACCCCATCTTTTATAAGGTTTGCAAAGAGATGTTTGAAATTGCCCATGTGTTTGATACGCCGGCTTTTAATGAATTAATGTGTGCACTGTGAATTTGGGCTTAGAACTGACTTTCCATTATTATATTCAATTATATTCGCCCAAGTGTCGACTGGTATTTCACGGGACTACTTCACTAAGACTGGGTGTTGATGCACCAACCCCTCCCCATGAAACAATTTTTCATTTGTAGTCAATAATTCGCCGAATGTCTTAATTTTAATGGATAAAATAAATACAAAACTTTAGCAATTCATGTTATATATGGAAGAAAGTGGTGAATAATTAGGAGCACTGTAACTTTCGTTTCGACAAATACAATCTTAGGTGTTAATTAGGTGCCACCGACGCTTTACTGCCAAACTGTCCTTTATTTCTACACAGTGCCTCTATGATAGAGGTCCCTCTATTATGATAGAGGCACTGTGATTCCTGCTTATTAAAAATCAAAAATGCACTTATATCACATTGGTATTTGGATACTGCTAGCATAGTGTGGTCATGGAAGGTAATACCTTCCAATTACCTTCCATGGTATGGTCTTTACACGGCATGGTTGTTTGTACAGTTGAACGAAGTGTTTAACCCTGATTTCCACCGATAATAAATAACCCTTTCATAAAATAGAATACGCGTCTCATACACAATGTCATTGGACATGTGCAGTGACATTTTTCCGAGGTCACCCTGTGCATTCATAGACCGAAAATGGTGCAGTCGATTGATTTTTAAGATTTTGGTGCCAATTTTACGCTATAGTGTTACGTAACGAGTCTATGGTGAATATTACTTTTCAGAAATAATTCAGCTTCATTCTAATACATTACAACATTTCATTTCAGACTACACTTTCGATTTCAGACTACACCTTCGATTTTGTTACCTATGACGAACGTTTGGTGTAAATCGTTCTTGTTCAAGGTGGTTCCCTGTTGATTTAGACTTGAGTAACTCGTGAAGGAGTCACCCCACGGCACATGGGATCATATCGTCCCCACAAATACAAAACGATTCCTCAGATCCAAAAAAAACAACAACAACAACTGCTCTCCGATATAAGTTAATAAACATGGTCGGTCACATGCTCTATAGAGACCCATCAACAATAGCAACAAGCTATTGATTCTGGTGTGTTCTACGTGACGTCCCCAACAGCCAAAGTCACGCTTGAAATATTTGCATGTACATTAGCATTACAGCCGAAAGCACTTCTCAGTGTGCGTACATTTACATCGAAATCACTCTCTGCTACCAGTGGCTTGTGTTCGATTTCACGACGCACATCCCGGGGGGCTGTTGTACATCAAAACACACTGTGATCAGACACCGTCCGCTCCACAATTTAACCCGATCATTGATGTGCTGTAAGACAGAAAACGGCATTTAGACTCAACGGAATAAGTCATGTACAGTACACAATACATACCTGTGTTTACAGCAGCTCCCACGCCGACTAACTATGTCATAGGGCACACCCTTTCATCCGGGGCTTTCACTCACAGCAAGAACGGCTTTAATTGTTTAATTAAATTAACATAACAATAACCAAATTGTAAAATTCGACAGATAACATGAAATAAGTTGGCTGTAAAGGCTCGTAAAACACAATTTTAAGTCTCCCAGCATAATAGCCTGTCTCATTGTTTTAGCTCTACTAAAAAGCTAAAATTTCACCCGTTTTTAGAAGCTTTTACAGTGAGAATTATACCCTACAGCTACATGAATATACAGTGATAACAGTGAGTACAATTTCTTGTCTGAATTTTGTTGCTGAAGCCAACTACAGTGATTTTAGATTACTCTAACTCTGACTACATGCTGTCATGTACACTCCAAGGACAACAGGAAGAAGAACAAGCAGAGTAAACAATGGCTACACTAATAAATTAACTGGAGGACAATAGAAGACAACCAGTAAAGTTAACTGCTCAGAAGAAAACCATTTAGAGGACTCTCAAGTCTAATTGAGCCAAATCATCTGTAAAACTTGAGCCAAATCATCTGTAAAACTGTTACATGTTTGTGCATTGTATGACCAATAATGCTCAAAAAACAAAATGGACACTTGAACAAAGAACAACAATGAGAACAAAGGAGAGACAAATTACTCAAAACAAAACACAGTGAAAGCCTACTACGAAACTGGTCAAATCAGGTCAAATTTGAAATGGGCAGTAATACTGTAGATGTCATAGCAACAATACCAGTTGAAACATTTAAGGAAGAGAGCTTGAAAGATTTCTTCAGTTCCTT